TATCATGCTAGCATTAATCTTATTTCTTCAATATAATTACTATTGTTACTTTTAATTTGGCTATCTTTACTATTTTTATGAAGTCAATATTTTTCTTTCTTCAATAATTTCACTATAGTTTATTTACTCTTTAATTATTGTTTTTTCAAACCTGTTCTGGAAATGATTTTCTTGAGCAGAGCCTCAGAGGTTCTATCAGAAACAATGTCTCTAGTTTCTACACCAAAAGATTCTGCGTTTACCTCACCCTCCCCAGCCTCCACTTATTTTTGTTAATTCCAGTCTTGATTATCTTTTCTGCCCAAAAGCATTTGTTTGGTTAGAGGAATACTGTTAAGTCTTTGTCTTGAGCTACACATGTTCTCAGCTGTGCTTCTGCATTTGTTTGGTTCATATAAATCATGATCATCACTTCGTTTTATGTACTTCAGACATTTTTCTTTGTTTTTTTTTATTGTTGATTTTTGGTAAATACAAAACATGTATAGGTTTCAAAAAAAGATGGAAAAGCTTCTGACTCGGTGTCTTCCTTGGGAGCTGTGACTGGCATCAAGGGTGGAATTGATCAACCACCTGCTGCAGAGCAAGGTGCTTATTATCCACCTACTAGCTATTGCGATTACTACTACCCAGGTTAGATACTAAATTGGGTTTGTCATTGTTCCTTTGATTTGCGGACCAGCTCCTATTTAATGGTCACAGACCAGTTATGACCACTTCATGATTCTATTCCCTATATAAATGCATTGGAAAGTTTTGGTTGGAACTTGTTAACTTTATGAGAAGTGTGTGTTTGTGTATCATATACATAGAGCTAAAGATTGTAAGATGTCATTCCATCAATTGTGAAGTAATAGTCGAATTGATTGATGAACTTCTGAGATAAGAGTTGTCACTGATGCCGAGTAGAACACATATCAAATTGATTGATGAGCTTCTGAGATAAGAGTTTGTTATATTCTACTGGGGTTGACTTATGATACGCTACATCTTTAGTACATATTTTATTAATACTCTTAGGGGGAGATTGCTGCATCCTTTGATGCTTGTTTATGAATTGTGGCACATTTTATAATTTCACGTTATGTTTTGTCTATTCATTGTAAATATCAGGTGCAAAAAAATGGTGAAATGTAGCAATTTTTATGGAAATGAAAATCAGAACTGTCACACTGGAAAAGAAAAGGCTAATGGAAGTAGAAATATAAAGCAAGTAATTGGAACCCTGCTTTAGGGGGGGTTGGGGGGAAGAGGGCTTTTGAGCTCTTTTTACTGGGTAGTGAATTAGGTAGTTCTCCATGCTACTAGGAGGGTTCGGCAGAAGTATGAGGAACCAATACTGGTACAAAGAATGCAATCGTGGGACAATATAGGTGTGGTTTGATAGTGTTTTGGATGCTTAACTATTTTATTTTATCGTCAGGTCTTTACTCCTCCATTGAAGTTTGATCTGTAGATGTGTATGTGCTTGCTTTGCAATTAACTATAATAACTTGTTGGATGATAGTGTTATTTGAATTTGCTTTTTTTGCAGGATATAATGGGACTTATAATCAGTTAGATGAGCAAGCTTACTTTAATGCGGTAGGTTTTACTTCAATAAGGGTTGTCTTATCTTAATTTGCTTTGTTGTCTTATAGCTTAAACACAATCTGGTGATTGTCAGGGTGTTCAGTCAGATAATGGTTCCCTTCTCTACTATATGCCTGGCTATAATCCTTACAGTGCTGGATTTGTGGGAGGCGACGGGAAGCAGCCCTATCCTTCGTCTGGATATCTTCAGCAACCTGTCTCATATGGTTCAGATTCCATGCCATGTTATACATGGGGCTCGCCATACTGTGCTGATATCACCAATAGTGCTGCTCCCAAACCCGGGAACGTTAAATCAACTTTTGGACGAAATGGTTCAGTCAAGTCGAATGGTTTTAATTGCACAAAAACAAATAGTTCTTTCTCAAGCAAAAACTCGACTGTACTTTTTAACCCAAAGAGTCGACCATCTACTGCCATGTCAAATCCGACAAAGTCTGTCCATCAAGCTCAGCCTTTCAATCCAGTGAACAAGGTCTGTTTAAATTTCCTCTGAAGGTCAACGATTGATTAACTATATAACTATATGATGGCTTTCTTTGCTAATGTTGAATGGGGAAATCTATGCTGAAATGTCTCTTTCATTCCTTTCAGAGGGAAAATGTCTCTTTAAGTTTTTATTTTCTATTTTTTTTGTTGTGATGACTTTGAAAGAGTATGTTTCCCTCTCGTTTTCTTTTGACAAGTTTTATACCCCCGTCTTGGCAGTTTCAATCCGATGTCCAGTCTGGAGGCCTGATGAAGGGGTTTCATCTGGTTGGGGACTACCCATCATACACCAGTCAAAATCAAGGTTTTTTCATGCCTTATGATCCCATCAACTGTCAAACAAACAGTAGAATGTGGAATGGAAACTACAGAGTCAAACCACGCGGAAATTTCACCAGAAATGGTGTGTTTGAGGCAACAAATGAGTTACCTCGTGGTCCCCGTGCCAACGGCAGAAGCGTCCCTTCAAAACCATCTGCTGAGGAGGATCAGCTTGTGCCAACTGTTCAGAGGGAGAAGTATAACAAAGAGGATTTTAAGACTCAGTATGATAATGCAAAATTTTACATTATCAAGTCATACAGTGAAGATGATATTCACAAGTGTGTCAAATATGATGTCTGGTCAAGTACTCCAAATGGTAACAAGAAATTGGACACTGCCTTCGTTGAAGCTGAGGCTAAATCAAGTGGAACTGGTTCAAGCTGTCCAGTGTTCCTCTTCTTTTCTGTAAGTTATCACGTTTCGTGTTTTTTTCTTTGATAAGAATTAATCACATCTGAACATGATGTTTTTCCATTTGTGGGCATGGGCGTGTCTTTAAATGGATGCTCAGTATAAAAGTTCTGAGTTCTCTTCTTTTGGATTTTTAGGTAAATGGAAGTGGACAGTTTTTAGGTGTAGCTGAGATGGTTGGGCAGGTTGACTTCAACAGAAACATGGACTTTTGGCAGCTTGATAAGTGGAGTGGGTTCTTCCCACTGAAGTGGCACATAGTTAAAGATGTCCCTAATACACAGTTTAGGCACATCATCCTTGAAAACAATGATAATAGACCTGTAACCTATAGCAGAGATACTCAGGAGGTATATTTCAGTTTTTGCTTTACCATTTTTGGCTATTCTTATCGAAGATGTTTAATATTTAGTTCAGTCTATGCCTCTGATTGGAATGGCAGAATATGAATTTGAAGTTACTGTTTTCTCTAAATATGTTCCCCGCCTCTTATTTCCTGTGTCGATTCTTAATTTTAATGCTAGAGATCTAACGAGTATGCTGTCATTTCAGATTGGATTGAAGGAAGGTTTGGAAATGCTTAGCATACTTAAGAATTACTCAGAGAAGACATCTATATTGGATGATTTCAATTTCTATGAGAAGCGTGAGAAAGTGCTCAAGGCTAAAAGGAGTTCAAAACCAGCTATTCAAGCTGATGTATACGAGAAAGCTGATTCTCTTGTGAGTTTCTCCTCCTTGTGCATTTATATAAATATTCAACAACTAGTGCCGCTCTGCATTTTAGCTAAGATACCTCATGTTTCCCTTTAAACTGTGGACACTTGTGTATGTTTGTACCAAACACTTCGTATAAAATTCATAGTAACTACTGCAAGAATGAGAAAACAATATTTCTAAAATTATTCACAAATCTAATTCTCCTATTCCACAAGTTGAGTATGTCATAAGAGGTTTCCGACCAAAAAGTTTATTGTTTGTGAAATCAAGTGGGCAGGTAGTAATTATTATTGCTGTGCATTGTAAGTTGTAAAAGGTCTCTGACCAAAAGAAAGTTGGTAAAATGAATAATTGGTGTTTTCTAGAAGAAAATGTGAGTTATTGTCTAAAATATGTACAACTATTACAGATATCTAGCTATAAAACTTAAAACTCACTTCTTTAGTATACCATAATGGAACAATATATTCAAGAAAGCCGGTGAGTCTTGTGATATTCTCCATCTTCTTGTGTGTTCTGATAATCTTCATCTTAGTAGTGCAGCTCCACATTTTAGTTGGATAGTTCATGTCAGAGTTGTTTCTGTTTTGAAAGCACACTTGATAAAAAATTTATCTCAACAACATTTGCAATGAAATCTGTATATGTTATAATTGTTATGTTGCCTGTGGTGCAGAAGCAATTCAAAGGAGGAGACAAGGTACTTGAGGAGGAGCTGAAGACCAACTCTGCTGATCCAACTGCACCTCTCGTTTCTCTCACCAAAAACCTATCGATTAATTCAAGGCCATTCAAAAGCAGTGTCTGAATCATAGGTTGCCTCCAAGAGGCATTTTATGACTAGGTAGTCCTGAAGCATCAAAACGGGTCCTTGTTTCTTCTTTTTGTGTTTAATTAGCTTTATAGGCATACACTTCTCCCGCTGCCCGGCTTTTGGGATGGCATTTATTTACTTACTAGTTTCTGTTAGTTTTGCTTCATCTTTAAGAAAGGAAAAGGGTTCTGTTTCTTTTCTTTTGACTTTGCAGTGTTTGTTTACTTTCAGAAGATCTCTACTTTTGTTTTAGATTATTGCAGTATTGATAATGTTAAAGAAAAAGTTGCCCCTCGTCTCCCAGTCTAGCTTTACTTTATTTTGAGAATTTACTTCTAGTATTATATTTCTAGTTTGTCACCATATTACTTTATACTGTGGCTGTGGTCCATGTAAGGAATTTCTGCAATTTTGCATCTAAATTTTATCGGACTATACACATCTTAAGATTTTGTATAATTCTGCAATTTTGTGTTGTTGGATGAAGTTATATTTCCTGCCAAGCCAAGATTCAAGTTGTTAAAATGTTTTCTCCCATCACATTTTTTATTGATAATAAACCATAACATACATGTAGATATCGTTAGATAAAAGCGGATTATTCGTAACGAATTGTACATACAGATATGAAGATTTTTTAACAAGCAATTTATGGCACTTGAGCTGCAACAGCAGAGTCAGTTGCAACTTCAACAGCAAATGCTAAAGAACAATAAGAAGGCAAAACTAGAAGAATTTTCATTGAAGATGAAAAGATTTCTTGATGATCACATCACTGAATATGAAATTAAAAGACCACTTCTACTTCAAAACACTAAAAACAAATACTATTATCCTATATAACCAAATACATTCCTTTTCTCATCGCTCGATGTTAAAAGAAATGACTTTTAAGGAAGATCAAATTCATACCAAAAAAAACAACAACAACAAAATTACTTCCTCATATAAGGTGAAAATTTTGTTTTATCATCTCGCTCGTTTTCAATCCAAGAATGTTGCATTTGGGGCATCATCATGCATGGAGTTGGCTGCAGAATTGTTGGAGCTACATATGTCAACTGATTATTACTTCCCATCATGTTATGAGTCATCATAGTTTCATATTTCATCAATGCACACCTCATATTATTGCTCCCAATCCCCGCGGAGGACGACGATGATGCACCATTATTATACTGCCAATCATTCTCATTCATCATCAACATCCTCATTTCTTGATGATGATGATTAACAATCGAATTACAGTAAGGATAAATTGGAGCTTGCAATTGATTATAATCTCCATATTCCATTCCTCCTTGGACCATAACATTGTCATTATAATGAGTCAATTGGTTTAATCTTGTTGCTTGTCCTCCTCCTCCGAAATCAATCATTTCTCCTTCCATCAAATTATAATCACCACTAAAATTCCCTTTCAGCATATTAATCCTAGTCTTCACATTTTCAACTTTGTCATCCAACAAAGTTAAAAAATCCCTCAACTTAAACTCAGATAACTGATCCATAAACTCTAGCCAACATGGATATTTTTTCTCCATATTCATCTTTCTCAACTTGATAAACTCTTCCTCAACTTTCTTGTTTCGATCAACAAAATAATCAGACAATCCAAAGGTTTTAGTACTACCAGATTGCAAACTATTCTCCTTTTTATACTCGTCGATTAGATTCTGAATCTCTTGTTGTTGTAAGCTTGTAGTAGTAGTACTTCCACTACTATTTGTCCAAATCTCAGGGCTAGAGTCTGATCCATTGCCTTGTTTTGGTCCATACATGATCATAAGTCCATTCACATTGCAAAGTGTAGTGAATTCATACAACTTTTTCAATAAACCTTCTTTCCTTTTCTTGAATGTTGCATTCCTTGATTTCTCCTTGGTTATTAGTTCCATCTTCAATTTTGCACGCCCCATCTTCTTGATCTACCATAAATTCAACAAAATATCAGAGGCAAATTCAAGTTTTAAAGCTACGAGTTCTTACGACAAACTCAAATTAATAAACTGTATATAATAACTGAATATTAAAGTTTGTAAGGAAAAACTTTGTTTCACAATATAGGAAATCAACTTCGAAAACAAGAACAATAATATAACCATGAAATCAAATCATATAAATTAACTATTATTGGAAGAGAAAGAAGTAATTGAAGAAAGTACCTTTTGGAGTTTGTTTTTCAAAATATGGCTTCAACGTACAAAGCAAAAGAAATAACTTCTTTTTATAAATAGGGAGAAAGGGGTTTGTTTAAATAAATCAATTAATGCTACTAATTTTAAAAGGAAAGAACATGTAAAACTTTAATTTAGTATCCCATTAATTGATTTTCTTAGATCCTTACTTAGTCATAAATATTTTTAGTCAAAAATATTCGAAAATTACCATATTTATATATAATTTTCCTAAATAAAAAAAAGTACCAATTAATGTTATGAATCGTATTACCCAAGCAGTGTCAACAGATTTATGCATCATTAAATGATCTATTTTTAATAATAAGTATATATTAAGAGCTATATGACTAAAAAAAAAAAACAGCATAATGTATTTTTCTTTTGATTTTGTAGTAACTAGTAAATCAGTTTCATTATCAATAATCAATCTCCAAAAGCATCTGATTAATTGATTTTGGTTGATTATAGTTTCCTTTCCGTGGGATTAGCTAATGTTGTTTGAATTAGTTCTATCATCTTTTCACCCTCACCCCCTACCAAAAAATCTTCTCATCATTTATTATTATGGTATAGGATCTTTTATTTTTCAAAATATGGATTACGTTTATTCACAACAATAATATATATTCAGTGTAATTTTATAAGTAAGTTTGAAGAGAGTAAAGTGTATGCAAACTTTATCTCGATTTTAAGAGGTAGAAAACATCCTCGGTTCAAGAAAAAAAAATGATTTCAAAGAAGTTTAGAAAAAGTAATTGAATGTGAAGAAGTCAATCATGACAAAGTATGTTGATAAGAAATGAATCGTTACAACAATAAAATGATAAAGCCAACATAACTAAAAAAAATAAATTGAAAATAAGGATAACAACCTAAAAGAGTAAATACTATTTACCCTATATTAATATGATAAAAGAAGAAGAAATGCAACATATCTTATTGATTTGGTTATTGGTTTAACGTATTTAAAAATCGATAATGCATAAAAATTGAATCGAACCAGGTGCACACCACAACACACAACTACATAATAACCGTCCACTCTAATTTTAGACATAATTTTTCAAACAAACTTCGTAAAAGTTGATTTATTAATTTAATTTTTTCCCTCAAAATATTTAAATCTTTTTTAATAGACAAGATTTTATTTTATTTAAAAAAAAAAAAGAAGTCGGGGCGGATCCATGTGTGTTTCGGGCTCCCACCAAAATTCCCTTAAACACTCATTGCATTTCTAACGTTCAGAACTACACAGCTCCAAAACTCTGCATTCTGCAATGTCAAACGATCAATCACAGCCGTTGATCTCGGAGACTAATAAGCACTCGCTCGATCAACGGCCGGAATCTCCCCAACGGCCGTCGAAATTCCCCAAGGTAAACGACGACGCCGGCAACGACGTTGTTGAAGGAGAAGAGCAGAAAGAGTCAGTAACTAGAACAATGAATCCTAATCCTCGGCTACAGCGGTACCTGATAGCAATTGAGTACATAGGAACTCGCTTCGCCGGTGCACAGCAACAACCTAATTGCAGAACTGTAGTCGGTGTTCTTCAGGTAAATTTATCATTTATATGTCGTCAATGAGTGATACTTTTGGTTGTTGGATCACTTGAGAAAAAGGTTTTCTTATCTGTTGATTGATCATCTACCTGCTACACAAAGGTACTTAGTTCAGTGTTTGGTGTAAAAAATGGCAATGACTAATTACATTTTCCTCCTCTTTTTTTTTTTGTTTTGCAGGAAGCCTTCCAGAAGTTTATTGGACAGCCAGTATCAGTATTTTGCTCGAGTCGAACTGTAAGTGTTTCTTTTCAGCTGTAATGAGCTATGCCTAAAGACGAGTAAATGTATTTGTTTAACCTGTTTCATGTCTAGCTTCAGATAAGATATGTGAATTCTCTTGAGCTCAGATTTATTTATGATTTATCTTCAAATTCAACATTTAATGAGTTTAAATGTACTTAATATGGAAGTCCTTATCAAAATAGAAAAAGAAGAAATAATACTAAGAAAAAGAAAAAGAATCTACTCAATATGGAAGTATCAATATGATTTTAAGACTTCCTCTATATTTCTAACAACATTATGTACCATTTACTTTTTGCTATTTGAGGACTAGTTACACTGTAGCAGGTCATGAATTTTGGAAAAGAAGGGTAAACACCCAAACCCCACTTGTGGGATTACATTGGGTATGTTGTTGTTTGTCTAAAAGATGAATTTTGTAAGTACACAAAAAAGGATGTGGTTACTGCTAGTCTGCTATAAATGAGGTAGAAATCATCTTTGCTCCAATTGGTATAATGCATCGAGTAGGGGGTAGAGGGGCGGGCGAGTTATCCATCAAGTTTCAAACAGTGACACTGACCCTAACCCTCAGGGATTATGCACTGTGGGAATGCGTGACTTCAAAATGGAAAATGACTGTCACTTTCAAAGAACATGTTTCTACTAGTTGTTTTCTTTCCCTTTTTGTGGGTCTATATCCTGCGAAAGCTGGTTATCTGTGTCTTCTTTCTAGCTCTTTAGAAGTTACTAAAATGTTCAATATTAACACACTTACAGCTCACTTTGGTTTATCTTAGGATGCTGGAGTACATGCTTTATCAAATGTTTGCCATGTAGATGTTGAAAGGATAAGCAAAAGGAAACTTGGTGATGTGGTACTTTTCTGTCTGTAATGGAAGTTTCACAATATCTGCACAAGCACTTTCAATCTTTTGAGTAATGCAGAGAAATTTGTTATCATCCTGCTTCTGTTAGGTTGAATTATTTCCTTCTCATTATATTCTATACTCATGATTGAGTAACCAATTTTCATCCTTTCCTTGCAATTGTCTATAATTTTCAGTATGTGAATCCTCTATAATTTTTCCATTCCATTCATGCCTGCTTCTTCCAATACTAAATAATTGTCTTTTAAAGTTGTTTCTACCTCTTAACCTATTATGTTACTTTGCTAAGTCCTTATCACTTGTATTTTTCTCGTGCAGTTACCTCCTCATGAACCTCTGGTGGTAAAAAGAGCAGTGAACCACTTTTTACAGGTTTAGTTGTCTAACAAGTTCTGATTCCTGATATTTAATTTTGTACAACCCTCCAAAGTCTTGATTCTGAACTTTGCTGATCTTCCATCTACCCATGATATTTGCTAAGGAAGTATCTTTCTGTTTCTTTTTATTTGAAATCTTTTCTTCTTTTTATGTGCATACGGAGCCTCATCAAAGTTCCAATCTTTAAGTTCCGCTATTTCCTTAGAATGAGTCTTGCAGAGAATTTAGAGTTTTCTAGTAATCTCATCATTTTGATAATTTTCTAAGGATAACATCATTAAAATGCACAGGTGTAACTGTTGACAGTTTAAGAGGATAACAGTGGTACCAAACAACTAGAACTCTAGAAGTAATCATTGATTCTTTAACAAAAGTAAACCTGTCATCTCTCATATTCCCCTCATGTTTCCTGCAACAAAACCCAATACCAATCAAGCTGGTATTTTCAGTTAGTTAATACATTAAGAATGAAATTTCACGCTGGTATTTAAGTTTGTTAAATTACATTAAGAATGAAATTGAGGCAAAATGACATAATGCTAATCAAGCTGATATTTAATTTTCTATCTGGAGGTACTGACCATTTTTGTTCATTATTGTTTGATTGCAGAAGAACGAGGGTGATATAATGGTTATTGACGTTCGGTTTGTTCCAGCCGATTTTCATGCCAGATATAAAGCTCAAGAACGCACGTAGGCATCAATATCTTCTTGATCATGTAGAATAATACTGAATCTGTACATGTATATGTGATCCAAGTAACATGCCGTCTCTCAAAATTGAATTTTTCAATGTCTATGGGAAAGGTTAGCTGCATGGAATAGTCTTATGTCCGGCTAGGATGGTGTTATTTACGTGTATTCACTGCTCCTGATTGTTCTCTAATCCATTCTGAGAGTCGATGTTTAACAGGATAACAGTGGTTATATTTAAAGCAACTGTTTATTTGGATAAGGTGTTGACACACTCTATATTTAATTCACATATGAACTAGTATATGCTAAATTTAGGTTTCCCGTCTTTCCGTGTGACACATGCTTATGAGATCAATGACTGAGTGCTGGTTATTGGGAATCTTCTTTGTAGGTACTTCTACCGATTGTTATCTGGACCGGAGTCAGTATCTAGCTTTGAGAGGGACCGGGCTTGGCATGTGCCTGAGAATCTGGATCTTCTTGCCATTCAGGTTGACTAGCTGCACATATATTTTTTAAGCTTAGTATTATTATCCCATATAACGATATTGTTTGTGTATTTTCCAGAAAGCATGTAACATTCTTATTGGACGTCATGACTTCAGTTCTTTCAGAGCAGCTGCTTGTCAGGTCAGCTTTTCTATCCTTGGACACACAATAGTGTTTTTTTAAAATCTAATTATGATTTTCCCAAAAACAAATTCTCTAACTGATACCCTACATTTCTTCTCTACTTTTCAATCTGTTCACCGTAAATCTTGACTTTTTCCCTCAGGGATTTCTAGGTTATCCAAAAAAAAAAAACTTAGCGTTTTTTACAATGCAATTGGAGTAATGAATAATCAACAAGCTAGCTTGCCAGTATGCCTCTTCTTCTCCACCTTTTTATTTTTTTTATTCTCAAAAGAATTTGGAGTAGAGGAGGTATACTGGAAAGCTAGCTTGTTGAACTATTGATTACTATTGCGTGAAAACCATGTGCTGACAT